GTTCTTCTTCCTCCTTTTCTTCTTCGCTTGGGTGAATCTCTTCCTGGAAATCGAGAGACATTGGAGGGGCTCTTTACCTTTCATTGAAGGTAACGTTGCGGCTGATTATAATCCGATTTGTTTGTCTGTCGAGAAGACTATAACCCATATTAGAGTGGCCGACAAGTGTCATTTTCTTCGAGCGACTGTCTAATTTTCTTCTTTGGGATTTCGGTATCAAGACGTGAACTTCGCTTCCGAATACTCGTCAGAACTTCAGGTCAGCTTTTCTTCCGTATATTAATTCAAACTGAGTGAAATTCTCGATATATCTGGTTGGGGTTCTGTTTCCAAGATAGACGGCGGTTTGAATAGCATATCCCCAGTATGTTTTTGGAAGTCTTGCGTCCATAATTAATGCTCGGGCTTTTTCTATTAGAGTCCTGTTAACCCTGTCGGACAATCCGTTGAGCTCCGGTGTGTATAGAGGAGACGGGTCCAACTTTATACCTTTTTGTCTGGTATACTTTTTCACTTCTTCTGATAGGTATTCTCTTCCATTATCACAGCGAACTTTCTTTACTGTTGGATGTGATTTGAGAAAATGAATTAGTTCTTTTTCGGTTTCTATTTTGTTGCGTAGTAGTCGCACTTCAATGAAGCGACTGTATTCGTCTGTGAATGTTAGAAAGTATCTTGCTCCTGATGGAGTTTCTGGCGAGATGTGTTCGCAAATATCAGAATGTATTGTTTTCCAGGGGGCAGTTTCTTTAAGCCTGGGTCCGGCTTCCATGGGCGTTGCACTTGGCTTGGCAAGTGGGCAAACGTTACTGAATTTATCAGTGATAAGCAGAGACATAAGTTTCATCACGTGCCTGTATGGATGAAACATCCTGCGGTACCATAACATTCGATCTGTACTTGTGGTTGTGATCATGGCAGTGGCGTCAATTGGTGTAAAATCGCATTGGTATTGGCCCTTTTCATTTCTAGTTGCAAGGTGCATGTTCAGATTATTTAATTTTGCGAATACTTTTTCTTCTTTAAATATTACAGTGAATCCGGCTTTTTCTATATTTTCACGGATATTAATTGTCCGTTTATTTCCGGCTCATAAAGCACGTCTTTGAGGGTGAATTTTTGACCCTTGGAATTTTCTCTTTCTATGTCTCCTATACCTAGTATTTGTAATTCGAGGCGCATTGGACGATTCCGGTGTGGGGTTTCAAGTCTCTGAACTATTCCCTTTTTGAACTCATGTGCTGAGATGCTCCTGAATCAATGATCCATTCTGCGCAGCTAATCTTTTCTCCTGCTGTGAAGGTGGCGGCTGACGAAGCATTTTCCATGCCTTCCCTATGTCTCAGATTTCTACAGTCTCTTTTGTAGTGTCCCCGGAGTCCACAGTTGTGGCATACTCCTTTGTTGTTCCTGCAGTTTCTCGCTGTGTGACCTTTTCTTTTGCAGATGTTGCATACCAGGTGGTTTCTCCTTAAAGACGTCGTAAATGCTGCCGTGTCGCCTAGGCATTTGGCTTGACGTGTAGGGATTTCCTTTCTGTATTCCACCAGCAAGGCTTATGCATCGATCAGTCTGGCACATATATGACCCAAGTCCGCAAACTCCTGTAGTAGGTAGGTTTTTCAGAGCAGTTTTTGTCCCTTCGTATTTTTTAGGCAGCGACATCAGTATGAAAATTACAATGTCTTCGTCAGGAGCCAATTAACATTGGCTCCTGATGAAGATGTCAATGGGTTCATATTGGTTGTTGATATTTTGCATCAAAATTCCACAAAGAGAATTGCTGGATGCATCAGTTACCAAATAAAAATTCCTCGTCATTTATATTTTTTAAAGTGGGTTTAAGTTGTAACTGTTCTAAAATACAATTATTTAAAGCATCCTGTCATTCATTACTCCAATTAAATATAACATTCTTTTTTGTTAAATTAGCAATCGGTTTGACAATTTCAGCAATGTTATGAATTAAAAGTTTGAAATAATCAACCATGCCTAAAAAAAATTGAACTTGCTTTGCATCTTTCGGAATAGGGAATTTTACAATTTTATTTACATTTTCAGATGCAGGTGAAAAACCATTAGAATGTATATCAAAACCTAAGTATTTAATTTCAGATTTACATACCTGGATTTTAGCTGGATCAAGAGTTAAATTTCTTTAACCTGTCAAAAACTTTTACCAATAATTGTAACATTTCCTCAATAGAATCTGAAGCTAAAACTATATCATCCAAAAAATATTGCAAGTTATGTCCTTTAATATCATCTAAACATTTAGAAATTAAATTATGAAAATATGAAGTACTGTTACGAGAGCCAAAAGGTAGACGAGTGGGTTGAAAATTACCTATATCACAACAAAATGCAAGTTTAGATTTATCTTGTTCTTTTAATTTTAATTGAAAAAAGGCACTCTTTAAATTCAAAACCGTATAGTCGAACTTCTATAACTCGAAGTCCCATGGGACCCCCCAAAATATTCAACTGATCCGAAGTTCGAGTTATTTGAGTTACCCCCCCCCCTCTGCTCATTTTCTTATGGCACTCAAGTGGCCTGTGCGATAAAATATGTTCATTTGTATGTATTTTAATATTTTAATAGCATATGGAAACAACAAGAGAATAATAGGGTTCAATGTGTAATTAAAACTCATAAAATCTGGCCTCACTACATAAATCTCATTTGAAAAAAGCAGTTAGTTTTGATTGTTTAAATTTTTTAAGGTTGTTGGCATACACAAAATCACCTAATTTTTGAACACAGTTAAATAGAGTGTTATCTGCACCTCCGGTGGTCTCCAGGTATGTTGTCATCGTCTCCTGTATGGTGCGATGTTGTCACCGATGCACATGAAATCTTTTAACTGTTCCCAGTCCATATCACCCATGCCTTCAAAGAGATCCCAATCGTCGGCTTCCGCTTCATTGTCATCTACACTTGCACTGAAGAAACCACAGCTCTTAAAACAGTTCTCAATCACAGCTTGAGAAACATCACTCTCCCAGGAGCGCGAAATCAGGCGTATGACATGTAACACATTGATTTTGTGTTCGACTCCATTCTCCACATCCTCGATCGATTGGCGCACCAAGCGTTTTCGATAGGCATGTTTCAGGCATTTAATGATGCCTTGGTCTGCAGGCTACAGTTTTGAAGTTGTATTTGCCGGTCGGAAGACCAACTTGATCGCGGACAAGTTTGCGATATCACCGTGAGCAGTGCAGTTGTGTAGGATGAGTAACAAATTTCTGTTTTGGTTGAAAAACTTTGAATCTAGTTTCCGGATGTATGTCTTGTACAAGTTCAAAGTTATCCAAGTTTTTGGATTGGCATGATACTCCACGGACAGGGATTTGACATTTTTTGAGCACCGAGGTTTCTTTGCCTTTCCAATGACCATCAACGGAAGTTTTTCAGTCCCATTGGCGTTCGTGCCCACCAGAATTGTCAACCATTCCTTGCTGAGCTTGCCACCAGAGCACTTCTCACTACGAAACATTATTGCCTTGCAAGGCATGCATTCAAAAAAGAGTCCGGTTTCTTCCAAGTTGAACACATCTTTCGGTGCATATGACTGCAGAAGATGTGGCAAACTCTTCCTCCAATTCTCGCATGTTTCATCTGGAACATCCTTTGCTTGTCCGTGTAAGGTACGGAACACGATGTTGTTCCTGTCTTTGAATTTGTCCAGCAATCCCGTACTGACGTTGAATCCTGTGACGTTCAGCAGGCGAGCGAAGTCCATTGCTTTTTCTTTTAACAACACTTCCCTGAGGGGAATGTTCTTGCTTCGGTGGGTTTCGAACCACTTCAGAAATGCTGCTTCTACGTCAGGAAATGCACACGTTTTTGCGCGTTTACTGGAAGAGTCTGCTCCCGATCCAAAGCTGCTCAAAATCTTTTGTTTGTCCTTTAAAATGGTGGAAAAAATGTTTGGAGGAATGCCATATTTAGCAGCCACATCTTTCTTGACCCTGAATCTAATAAATATTTAAAAAATTGGTTGCCAAATCTAATATCTATTATGGGTAAATTATTTCTAGTAAAAACATTATTGATATAAATTAATTCTTTAGGTTTTGAATTACAACTTTTTAAATAATCTTTAACGGTATCAAATTTATCAGAATTCATTTTAGAATTAAGGTAGTTATTAAGTCTTGGTTTAGGTGAACTTGTTCGTAGATGTGAGGACATTATGTCACCCTCATAAGTTTAAATGAATCTTATAGCTTGATTTAGGTACAGTTTGCTCAGAATTTTGTCTCATTTGACTATTATATTGTCTTATATCATATCTCTGTGTATTAAAATTTTGAAATCTATTAAACCTGAGAGGATAATTGTAATAAGAAAAACGAGATGTCACATACTGTGGACTATGAAATCTATAACAATAAGCTGGGCGAATAATCGCCAAATATAATCGACAATGGGTCATAATATGCCCTCTTTTATTGCAATAGTGACATATAATTGATTGTTGGGAATTTTGATGATTATTTTCAAAATGGTTTACGCTTTCATGTATGGGTAGATTTCAAACCTCTTTTTGCCGAGTTAGGGATAATTTGAATTCCTCACAGTTAGCTAGCGCGTGTTGCTTTGACCAAAATTGGCATATAATTTCTTGTACCTTTAATGTTAAATTTTAAATTTGGCTTTCTAGCCTCTTTAAAGTTTCATAATATGTCCATGTTTTAACCAACTTCGCTTAACGTTTTTTGGGAGTTCTATTTTATGTATGCAGGATTTGTTAGATGATATTCATCATCCTAACATTTTTGCGTATTTACGTGCTGTTGGTATTTTTAACTGTATATAAGTGTTTTAATGCACTTAATAAAATAAAAGGATGATCTTAAAAGAACCTCTGCCGATCTTCATTTAGTAGCAATGGCCACCGCAACGAGAACCCTCTCAGCAAACGGAAATTCGCTTGGGAGCACTTCTTGCAGGAGTTGATTATAAAAAAAAAATTGGTAGCAGCAGCTGATTTAAAAAGGATTACTCTTATTTTTTGCACTGTTTTGCTACAAGCAAAAATTAAAAAATAAATAAAAAAAAGTATAGTTACATTGTTTCTAAATCTAAACAATATTTAAAATTTATTAATTCAACAAAGAGATTTATAGACTCATTTAGCAAAAACGGTAGAATCATAATTCCGTATAAAATTTCAGCTTCACATCTTTTTTGCACAACATCTATTTTACTATTTATGCTATTTACATACTAAGTATTTACACACTAAGTTTATTCATAAAAGTCTTTTCATCATTAGTTAGTTTCTTTAATTTGTACAACTTTAATAATTGTGTTCTTTTGCGAATACCATTAAGCGTGAAATCTTTACCAATATCTATAGAAATAAATCTAAGAAATTCATCCAACTGTTCATTAACTTCAAAAAGGATTAGATACTTTAATAACATCATTTACTGATATCTTATTGTTAATATGCCTTCAACGAAAAGAATAGGCTAGCGCCATTATGTTTCATATTTTTATTTTGTCTTGGCACTTCTTTTAAAATTTTTTTTTAATAATGTGTTATTTTTATTTCCAATGGCAGAGAACTTGACATAAAGGGGAAAAAAGACAAGAAAAAAAAATAAAACAAAAAAATGTCATTGTTTCATTCGGCCTCGTGCCTCCCAACAACGCTCGACCAAGGAACTCCCACGAAGCGCTCTGCAGTGTGAAATGTGATGACCATCCATGATGACGTGATCCCCACAGAAATAACAAAAGGGGTCCGGGAGGACACCAATAGAAAATAGATGTCCACCCAGACAGTCATGCTGAGTACAAAGTCTGAACATCGCAACAGCATCACGTCGAGGATACTCCAGAATGTTCAGCTGATCTAAATGTCCCCAACTTTTG